GGTACGTCCGTAAGTTATAATCTCATTGATCACGGGTTTCAAACCTTCTTGCTATGTTTTTGGAGATGATTACTGCTGGACAGAGCAAAGGGATTAGACCCAAATCGTTATTAAAGATTCGCATTGCAAATATAAGTTCATCCCGCGTTTTACGATATGATAAGGTGGAAAGGTTCGTGTGTTTTAAGTGCTCATCATTAGGAACTTTCGAAAGGTTCTTTACTAATTTTTGCAGTGTGCTGTTTTGTTTAATATGACATAAATTGGCTGCTGGGATACAGTTCTCTAGGTGTGGTCTTACATAGGTGAGATATAAAATTCCAAACGTCTCCTTTTCAGGGTATTTGAATGCTTGCAGCAGTGACCATAACTTTCGAAAGCCTTTTGCGGCTGCTGCGTCCCAATGCGCAGTTGTTTCCAAGTCGTGAATAACTACTACCCCCAAGTCTTCATGTATCTGCACACACAGAAGCGAGATGCCATTGATGGTATATTTATAACCATTACTGTGCTCTATGTGCATGAGCACGCTCTTCCTAGAGTTAATTTCTAAGTCCCAAGTTTGCGACCGTATAACTAAGTCGTCCAGGTCAGTTTGGAGACAACTATCAGCCTCACCACTTGTTGTTCTACAGATTTTGACATATACAAACCATAATGTTGATGACTTAAGTGGTCGCGATAAGTCATTGGAGTAGGGAAGGAATGTTAGGGGACCTGAGATGGTGCCTTGGGTTCGCCGTTTCCGACCGGCCCTCATGCAGATAGTGTTCCACTTACTTCCACTCTAAGTTGTCGGCCGCAGAGGAAGTGTCGTATCAATTCCTATACAGCACCTGTTATTCCGGAGCTTGGGAGCTTCTGTATATAACCCAAATGAAAAACCTTATAAAATGCTCCGCTAAAATCTATGAATATCACATAAAGAGACAGACAACTGTTTGTGATATTGTTTAATTCTCTCTCGAAATAAGTTAGTTCGTTAAGCATGGATGTTTATTGTTATGAGTTTCGCCCTGTGAATTATCGTGTGAACAGATCGCCAATCAAAATATGACCTGTGTAACCTTTGCACTGTGCCAAACCAACGACGCGTCAACCACTACGAGGAACCTAGTGTCAACTCTTAGTCCTTATCAGTTCTTCCCGCCCAGATCTATCTGTTTGAGTCTAGAACATGTAACAAATGTTTTATTGAGTTGTTATTCACTTTTAAACGTTGGAAGACTTAGTTGAAATCGAGGTTACCATTTCAAACACACAGAGATTTTCAACATTAAATATCAGGAAATACAATTCCTATACAAAGTAAGGAAGTGAGTGAATGCTTAAGCTATAGTGTTATGATGCCTACGTAAACGTTTACGGTCAACTCTTAACCAATCCACCCAGAGTATTGCAAAAACAAACTCAGCTTACACTGTATGAGTTTATATACAAACAAATCAGACCTCAATAAACCATAAAATAAAAAAGCAATCATACAAGCCTAGGATAAAATGTAGCTGTAACTGTCGGGGTCTGTGTTTAATAAAGTGGGGAAAACTTAAGAACGGCAAATCGTATAATAATAGTTATTAGGTAAAATGGAATATAATGATAAAGGTAATATAAATGTATATATTATAGTTACTTAACAGTTATCTATTAAGTATATGCCAGAAACAACACCCTATAAATAGCTCCTAGCAGATAACGTTTGGATTATTTTTTCTGGTAAGCGTTTTTTAGCGAGTTAGTTTTCTACGGGATGGGGACGCTAACCCCATGCCCAACTCTCCTCCTTTACCCGGGCTTGGGACCGGCAGCAACCCTATAAGAGCTACAGGCGGAGTTATCTTCTATTCAAAAAGATTTGGGAGGAGGAACAAGTGCAGATGGACTGGAAAGAAGGACACCTCGTCAAGATTCCAAAGAAAGGAGATCTGAGCAAATGTGAAAACTACAGAGGCATAACACTACCAGGGAAAGTCTTCAACAGATTGTTACTGAACCGGATGAAAGATGCAGTAGACGCCCGACTTCTTCGACACTACTGAGTTCCTGAGAAGATTGTCAATATTATCCGAAACTCATACGACGGACTACAGTGCAAAGTAGTGCATGGAGGACAGCTGACAGATGCATTCCAAGTAAGGACCGGAGTCAGACAAGGCTGTTTACTCTCTCCCTTCCTCTTTCTTCTGGTGGTCGACTGGATTATGAAGACCTCAACATCTGAAGGAAAACACGGAATACAATGGACAGCTCAGAATCAATTAGACGGTTTGGACTTCGCAGATGACCTAGCCCTCCTATCACGTACACACGAACAGATGCAGATAAAGACAGCCAGTGTATCAGCAGTCTCTGCATCAGTAGGCCTCAGCATACACAAAGGGAAAACTAAGGTCCTCAAATTCAAAGCGGAGAACAGCAATCCAATCACACTTGATGGCGAAACTCTAGAAGATGTAGAGTCCTTCACATACCTGGGAAGCATCATCGATGAACATGGAGGATCCGATGCAGACGTAAAGGCGAGGATCGACAAAGCAAGGGCGCTTTCCTACAATTGAAGAACATATGGAACTCAAAACAACTTTCAACCAATATCAAAGTGAGAATCTTTAATCCGAACGTCAAGGCAGTTCTACTGTACGTACGGAGCTCAAAATTGGAGAACTGCTACAACCATCATCAAGAAAGTACAAGTATTTATAAATAACTGTCTACGCAAGATACTCAACATCCATTGGCCGGATACCATCAGCAACAGCCTTCTGTGGGAGAGAACAAACCAACTTCCAGCTGAAGAAGAAATTAGGAAAAGACGATGGAAATGGATAGGACATACACTACGCAAATCGTCAAACTGCATCACGAGACAAGCCCTAACTTGGAATCCTGAAGGGAAGGCGGAAAAGAGGAAGGCCAAAGAACACATTGCGTCGGATAATAGAAGCAGATATGAAAACGATGAATTACAACTGGACGGAGCTAGAAAGGATTGCCCAGGACAGGGTTGGATGGAGAATGCTGGTGAGCGGCCTATGCTCCTTCACGAGGAGTAACAGGCGTAAGTAAGTAAGTAAGTAAGTAAGCAGCTAACGTCCATTTATTCTTCGTTGGGAAATAACACTTATTTTGAATCTTACGTTGCTCGGAAGTTACATGATCGTATGATTCTATGCGACTCACTAACTCAACACGAATATTTTTTTTCATTTAACTTAATTTTCATGCCGGTCAAATTGATAGGTCAGTAGTTAGACACAATTTGTCTCTTTCCACATTTAAACATAAGAACAATCTCTTGGCTGTTGACTGTAGGAATGGGACATGTTGAATAGTGTGGTGAGTGGTCGTGAAATAATGTTTGTGCAATATGACAGCAATTACGGATGTCACCTTTCAGTACCCCAGGTCTAAATGGGTCTAAGGTTGGTGATCAATTGACGAATAGCTTCCTCATTTAAATGTACAGGCCCTATAGCTAGTATGTCAGTAGTGTCGTTATGATAAGTATTGTTTACAATACCCGTAGAGTAAACTCTGCCGACCAGGTTTGACTGAGCTGGTATATTTGGATTTTCGCCCAATAGTAATGGAGGAATACCATCACTACTATTTGTCCTTCATTTAACGTACGAAAACAATCTTTTTGGGCATGTACGGCTATTATGTGTCTTTCATGAGTGGTACGACTCTAACCATGGTGAACTACGTTGTATCCCTCCTATAACCGCTAACCCGTGTCTAGATTTTATTGTACAACAAGCTACCTCATACGTACCACTATCATGCGCGTCTAACGTGCTCGACTGTACGCGTAGATAGACTGTAACACAATATTCTGTCACCTCCCACGTGATTTGTAATTCTATCACGTCTATTACAGATGTAGCTTAAAATAAGTGGGAAGCAGTCTATTTTTGCCCAAATCCACGTTTTTGTGATAACAGTTATATCGGCACTTAATTCATCCACCATCAAAATTTACTCGGACGTTTCATTTCTAATAATACCAGCGCTTGTGTAGCATCCACTGAAGGTGTCGTGAGAATCACTTATTTTTCCCACACAAGTCTCGGGAACACCGACTTCAGAGACTTTTTACCCCAAAAACCCTCAATGGTAATGTTTGTTTTGCCTTTTCGCTCCCGAGTTTTTAAGTCAGTAAAGACATTTTTCTATTTGATTCGGTTCCTAATGTGATAGAATAAGAATATTCAAATTTAGAGATTTTTTGCGTTATTCATTATAACGTCTCTTTCTTCGTAATTTCCCAGTCAGAACTTCAGGATTCTTCTCGGTCGTGTCTCACATCCAACCTACTTACTGAGTCTTATTACTTCAGTGTTATGCATCCCTCAAACCTCTTCTAGCAGTATATTTTGGATGGTAAAGTCAACACTGAATCGAAGTCGTGTACATGCCTTTCTCTAGACTCCTTTAAATTGCAGATAATTAGAATTGAAATGGATTTGACTCCTTTGAAAATATTGTTGTCGTTTTCTTCCTGTCATCTACTAGGACATTTTCTTTGTTTTTTTTGGATTATAGTCGGTTGATTCAAGCAAATTGCTCACGACAATGTTTGACGAGATCAAACTTTTTTCAACTACTCTAGGGTTAAATATTGACTTACTTTGGGACTTTCGTGGATTAATCTCTATTTTGAACCTCACTAGTGTGATAATCAACTAAAAAGGGTAAGACAAAACGGGTTTTAAGAAAAATTCAGACCGTAGATGAAATGAATTAAGTCAACTTTGACAAATCTTCTTTGATGCAATAAATACTCCACTGACGTTTTAGGGAGTAGCTTCGTGTCTTCTTACTACTTCCAAGTGCTTTTATCATTTAATAACTATGGAGGATTCAGAAAATAACAGTACTTATTTTTAGTGATGAACGACATCATATTATCGGAATGAAGCGTCCAAAGTACAAGCAGTTTACTGTTTACAGACTGAAAGTTCAAAGGTTGAGGTTTGGGTTCTGAAAGGTCAGCGGATAATTTGAGTTAGTGCGGCTCTTGTAAAAAGACTAGTGGTAATGAATGAGCTGGAGAAGTTATTAAGTTAGTATCGAGTGTTTCTCTTTACACAAAACCTTATTATAGGTAAAGCTACAAACCCGATATCAGATCAGTATGACTCTGACACCGTGAATGAAATTGCAAAGCTGATTGATACTCAACCTAATGGTCCAATCTTTACTCTTCGACTTCTTGCCCATAAAATTAAGTCTCCACATGAAAAAGAAGCTCTTAGCTCTTTAATGGTAAAATTTATTGCTCTTTTATAAGTTTTAGCTGTTAGAGTTTTTATCCAAGCGTTGTGGTCCAACATTTATATCCGAACTCGGAAAGTTCAAGTTTCTCAACGAACTAATCAAAGTTCTCTCGCCCAAGGTAAAGTTGAAAATTACGAAATTTTTATAAAATTTGCCGTGTGAGAGACCAGCAGTCATAGGTCGCACTATTTTTCCCATGTGTCGGTCTGAACATCCTAAAGCTTCTTCCATGTTATTGTCCTTTCTTAGTCAGTTGTAGTAAGATTTCAGCCTTAATTTCCATTTGTTCTTAAAGTGATATGATATTTTTCGTCAGTTCTTTTACGAACGGCAATAATAAGCCCACCTAACACTAGAACTAGTGAATAAGTCCTGTGAAATGTTTTTGTCCGAATCCGTCTTTATTATTACTTCAGTAGTTTTGTAGGTTGACTGCTTCTCTCGTGTGAAAGTCTTTTAAAACCTGTTGAATTAGATGCCGATAAAACGTCCTGACTGATATGAGAAACCTTTATTTTCTGCTGAATTACGGCACTTGTAATGTTCGATTGTCTTACGGTTAGTCGTACTGGATAGCAGTTCACTTTGTCTCGTTCTATAAGTTTCAGTTTCATCTATGCTTCAAGATCAACTATTTTATTTGACATTATCCGGCGTTCTCCGTATATTTTTGGATTGTTTCTGTTCAATTCCCTTCCGTGTGCTGTTATAATATTTGGTAATATAAACGACCCCTACTTTCGTTTATCCTTAACTTTCAATGTAAACTATCACCTGGTTTAACATGTGTTCTTTTATACTTTATTATATGGCTTTAAATACTGCGAACTTTTGGTTTTTTATTTCCCTTTGTTTATAACTAAAATTTCAGTCAGTACACATTTCACATTTCTACAACTTCTGGTTTTTTACTTTTTAGTATCTTGGTGACCAGACATCTTCATGTGTAAAAAACAAATGTGCTCAGTTGCTTCATAATTGGCAGCGTGATTTCTCACCAAATGAACCGAAGTTTGCTGAGGCATACAATATGCTTGTTCGAGAAGGTATTATAACTGCGAGTCAGATAGTTTCTACTGACTCCGTTTCAGAGGTAATATTCACTATCTTTCAAACTGAAATCGTAATATAAAATTATTGGATTGTTTGTGATATGAGACAAAGTATTGGGAATCGACCATCAGCAATGAAATCTGTATTCATGCGATTAACTCAGCCCCAATACGCGTTGCCTGGTAATAGTTCCTAAATACTTAAATCAAAATAGGCAAAGCGGTTTGCAACTCATAATTCAGTGAACAAACGTTACGCACCTATCTTACTAACGGTGAAGTCCAGGGGGTTTATTCAGCCGTGTACTGACTCAAACAGTACTGGTCTAGTCAGAGCTTATTGAAAACTGTCATCAGAAGTAATTACTTCATGTGGCGTTCAGGAGGAACCCTCACTTTCACCATCTTGACCCGAATTCGTCATAGAAATGCTCTTAGCGATAACACTATCATCTAGGTTTTCAGGTATTGATGTTTTTCCAGGATATTCACTTGTTGACTTAGAATATTCAAATGATGTAGTTTTCTGGTGAATACTAGAAAAATTCGATCTTTTGACAATATCAGACAACAATGTATGGATGTTTGGGACCTCATTCTCCCCATTCAAATGTAAAACATTGTTTTAGGACCGGCCTGGCTCAGCTCCCAAATTATTGGTAAGGAGTGAAGTAGTTGGGCGTATCGACCGCTCGACTTATCTTGGGAGTCTCTCCAGTCCAGATGGGCTAGTGTGTGACAAAATGTGGCACGGAATTAGAAAGCTTGATTGACTTTTGCCAACGTGCACCACTTGGCGTAATCAAAGTATTTGTGCGTCAACCAAAAGACGAGTTTATTGCTCAGCAGTTCGCTCTGGTCTGTTTTATTAGCGTGTAACATGGTCATTGGGAATCTAGGATATTTGTAGGTTACTATTATTCAGTTATAGGTGTCTATTATTTATTCGTTCAGACGAAAATATTGGTACAAGGGCCACCAAAATTTATGTGCCACACAATAAAAACAAGGTTGTGGAGGGATAGAGAAAGGATGGTCAGTAAAATAGAAAAATGGACAAAAGCGAATACAAGTTAGTGTATGGGAGTGAAATGATAATAATAATTAGAGAAGCAGTTCATTTGGGAAAAATACAGCCGGGAAGAATTTCAATTAAAGTTCCTCTCACTTATGTGAAGAAAGTAAAAACAAGTTAAAGCAGGTTTACCACTGGCTTCTATTCTGAGCTATTTCTATAATAACATTTAAAGCCGGTGTTGCACTATCTCTAGGACCCCAACTAGGAAGTCGTTAAAGATCAACAGAAGCCAGTCCTGTACAGCTGTCATTCGAACTACGACAGCATGCCCGACACTGACCACATCACTTTTTCCAATCAGTCTCAGCGTCAGTAAATAATGTGCGACATTCTTAGTACATATCCAAGACACCGAAGTCGATGTTTGAAGATGGGGACACCAATCGAATTATCGTTTCTGCTTCAAAACATACATTGCCGGATCTCTTCATTACTAACAGCATCCACTTATCTAGGTTCAGACTATTTAGTTGGTTTGCGCGTGATTATCGTAACTAATGATTGGTGAAATGTGATGTAACTGAGCTTCTTCCTCAAGAGTACAGATGTATCCACTCTTTAGATCCTGAGTTTTAAAACTACTTCATACCTTTTATTCCGAGAATCCATTCTTTTCTGAATTATATTTTCCGTCCAATCGTTTTTTACTATCCTTGATACTACTGGTACTTCTACTACGTTAGTAATCGCCTTGATAATTTAACCTCAGTAGTGTGGCGAGTTAGGTTGATGGATGTATGTTAGCGGAATATAGATTGGATTAAAGCACATTCCGTGCAGGATTGTTCAACCGTATTTTGATTTGGGGAGTTATCGAGTAAATTGATGTCCAAGAATATCAAGCAATAGGAATAGCTGGGTTGTAATAAGAGAAATTATACCAATGTATACGCTAGATTCTACACTAAATAAAACTGACTCAATGACAGTTTCAACTCAACGTTAAATTGGGTGATTGGAAAGTATTGTCAAAGTATCAGTTATTATATTTCGAATTGTTATTGCTCATGGTAATAACTTTGTTCATTTCCTTCAAGGAATATGTTAAATACAATTTTTTAAAATAAACTATATATACTATATCTTCCTAAATACATATTTTGTAAAATGTTTAAAATTGGTAAAATAATTACTACTACGGTGAAGGTGTGGAACTAATTTATTGACAATATTCTAAATGATTTTTTTTGACAAACAATTTGTTCTTAAGATATTCGACGACTTTTATAGTTTTTATGTCTTATTAATTCAATAATATTGACCTTTTTCTTCATTCATTCATTCAGATGTATTATTGTTAAAATAAGTAGGACTTATCAATATAACAGTATAAAGTAGTGACAATTGTGATCGGATTTCACATTTGTCTGAAATAGCTGACGTGTGTGTGTGTGTCATTTAGTGAATTTTTGTGCATGTATCAACATGGTACTGTTCTAGGAGATAAGATTATCGATAATGTTGAACGTTATTCACTTAAGATTCTCTCTAAGCAATGTGATTGCTTTTAATTAGATGATCTTAACCTTGACATGATCAAGTTATTCCATATAGGATTTAAGATTTAAATATATGATCCACCTTTTTCTGTCTGGATTCTTGGGTATCTTCATTGGACAGGAAGTCCAGCTTAAAGCTAAGCAGTATGAACTGTTGCTTGGTAAATTAGTTAACTGAATTAACGTTCGATTGCTTGAAAACATAAACATTGGTATAAGGAGGCACCAAATATATATGCGCCACACAAAACAATGAGAATGGGGAGAGAAAAAAGGAAGGTAAAGAGCGTAAAAAAGAGGAACAATAACGACCAGATTAGTGTAAGGTAGTGTAATAATAATAATGATAATAATAGGGGAAGCGGAAAGATACAACCAGAAGAAATCTTTCAGTTAAGGAAGATACAACCACTTTTTATGAAAAAAGTAAAAGAAGGTTACAGCAGGATCGCCACTGGCTTCTATTCTGAGCCATATCTGATAACGTCTCTAGCCACTGTGTAGCACCATCTCTCAGACCCCAACCAGGGAGTCGTGAATGACAGACACAAGCCAGTCCTTTGCAGCTTTCTTTCATGCCACGACACCATGTCATACACTGACCACCTCTCCGCTTCTTCCAACCAGTCCCAGAGTCGGCAAATAATGCACGGCGTGGAATCCTCTGGGACGACATTCGGAGAACATGTCCAAGCCACCGAAGTCGGTGTTTCAAGATGGTGACACCAATTGTATTATTCTCTCTGCGCCCAAACACACGATGCCGAACCTCTGCATTACTAACATGGTGTTGCCACTGGATGTCAGCAGTCCTTCAGAGACAACGATGATCGGACACAGAGTCGTCTAAAGAGTTTCCACCATAGGCGAGTTGCTGTATAAGTTGAAAAATAAGGATACAAAAGGTGGGAATAGAAGAGAGTATATAAGTGATGTAGTATATAAAAAATAAAAATAAATGTTATCAAATGGATATGAGTTGTATGAATTTTAATTGAAACAAGAATAGAATTTCTATTAAATATTTTCATTTCATTCTAATTTATGTGTGGGCTGTGATACTACCCGAGTGCCCGAATCAAAGCAGGTGGTTTTCTTAAGGGGACCACACTCGGAGCCTTTGACCTAAAGGTCTGACCCACAAGGCAATGGAGTATCTTGAGGAGATGCAGTCCCATGGTAGCCGGTGACCAACAATTGGTTCATACGCCATTCGTTCCTTCAGGATACTGGAGCCAATGTGCACCATTGGTTCGGAATCAGAGTTTCTCAACTCCCCTAGATGAACTTACAGTGTCCACCGGCCGGATTAAAGCGCCGGACATTGGATTACTTCATATTTTCCGTGCTCCAATTTCATTTGTTTGTCCCAATATATTTCTGTTTATTTTTAGTTTACAACTACTTCTAACGTCATTACTTTACCTCCTTTGATTTTCTTGTAACTGTGGGATGATTGTGAGATTTGTAAAGGTTAGAACTGGTATATATTTGTATCAGATATGACTTCACGACTCGTATTTTGAATCGATTTATTTGAGTGACACGAGAACTGGTTAGGTGTTAGGTATCACAAACCAATTAATTGGATTTTTGAGTCGATAATTTATGGCATAATATGTATAACAGAATTAACTAAAAGTGGAGATAGTGAGCTGCTCTGGCATATACCACATGATGTGGCTATTTCAAATTGCTCTTCGTCACTAAATCTCAGTCGACGAATAGTACTTGAGTAAATTCTTACGGGCCCGCCGTAACAGGACTCCTCAGCCAACAGAGTTGAATTCTGTCTTTAGGTGGGGGAATATGATTACATTTGGACGGCGGCATCTGTTTTCTAGGATCTACTTAAGGGTAAAGGTTTGGTCAACAGATCCGTAGCCAGGATCGAAACTTGCTTGGTTTTATTAGATTACCTGTTCCCAAGCTGCATTTAAGCGTCTAGTGACACTTCATTTCTAATATAAAGAGTAACGTACGGTACATTATCTCATTTTTACTCATGTAATATTTTCGTTTCGTTCTCTTTGTTTGCAGATTTGTCGCTCAGGCTCTTCAGCCGCTGAAAATAGGCAAAATATTTTTGAACGTAACAAAAAATCAGAGGTAAGTGTTATTTGTGAAAAAAAGTTGTCATGGTGGAAGCTTTTAATAACTAAAATGACAAAAAGTTCGATTTTTAAAGCTAATGACTAGAATGGTAATCGATAGATAAGCACAATAATATGATGTGACCGAGTAATGGCTGCTTACGGGCCGTATCACTTACTTAAAGCTTTGAATATTTTGATGTTAAGATCAAAATCATTAGCCATATGAATAGGTTTTTCTGCAATGAAATAACGTGCTTCTGTACAGAAAACAAGCCTGAAATAAACATAATGAAATGTCGACTGGTCGAAGGAAATGAGCTTATAGTTTGCTCATTTCCTGGTTAGTCAAGACATGACTGTTAAGCCTAGTTTTTGGACTTGATGCCACCTCCGCCTACAATACTATCCTTCTTTGGCAACATTAGTTAGACGGTGGGACCTCTAACTTGTTTCATATATTCTTCAATTTAATAAATACCGTGCTTTTCTTCCTTCTTCCGACTGAAACCGTCTTACTAGCGCGAAATGTAGGCTAATTTTTTCTCAAAAATACTGAGGTAAACCTTTTCTTTTGAAGGTATTTATTTAGATTGGAAAATACGGCTCACATAAAAAAAGACCTTTTCACATATTACTAAACCAAATACAACCTTGACACAATTGTTCCATCCCTAGTTTGTCTACTGTTCAACCCTCTTTTTGATTTTGCTTACATTGAAAATCGATAAGTCTTGCGGGAGTTGTTTTATTTCTTACAATCTTCTTCTCCACAATGATCTTTTGATTGAGTTGAAAAAAAATCCCACAACTATCAGGATAATAAAATATGTTAAATATTTAGTTCTCATGTAGGTTTTACAACATGTGACGAAACATTTATTAAATTGTTTCCAAAGTAATAAGCAGATATATAACCATATTTTTCAACCAGAAAAAATAAATGTTTCAATAACTCAATATTCAATTCACCTGGTTTTGAGTTTCCACATTGAATGATGGTAAATCAATTGATGAGGTTGTGAATCTTCATCGATTAATATGGTTCGATCACGTGTTACGTATGCCTGAACACCGACTAGCACGACGCGCAATACTGACGAATGCTGGAGACGGTTGAAAGAATGTTAGAGGCGGCCAAACCACAACGTGGCATTAGTCCTTGAAGTCACTAACTTCTAGTGTTAGCCAGTTTGGTAGATGCAGATTACTTGGTTGGGGTCCACGTGACTATCGTAATCAATAGTTGGAGACTCTAGATGACATGGCTCAGAATCGATCACAATGGCGTCAGTGTATACATTCTCTGTCTTCCTTTAACCTCTGAGATTAAAATTGTTTTATATCTGTCTTTCTACGAACTAATCCCTTCTTCCTGTATTATATCCTCATATGCAATCTCTATTTTACATTTCTACCATTGAATTAACTGCTTCTATGAGTTTTATGTTCATCTTTTTGTGCTAATGAAGCGTGTCGACTTGGACCGATACATATATGTACCTGATCCTGCATTGTAGCTGATTGGCTGTCTGACACTGTTCTCATAATGGTTGCTAAAAATTTTGCACTACTGTTTCATTCTTTGCTTTCATAATAGAATTTCTATCATAATATCTCTTTGACTGAAAGTAACGATATCTCCCATAGATAGTTCATTGATTAGTTTTATTCTACATTGAGTTATATTTGTATATAACAATATTGAACTGTGTATTTATCAGCTCTTTTAATGGTTGTCCAAAATCTATAGCTCTTGTTTTCGATAGTTGTTAGTTCTCACCTCTACTTTCATTGTTAGAATAAAACTTATCATTCTAAAACATAAAACCATTTAAGCAAAGATGGATAGTGGCTAGCAGTGGAATCCAGGACGCGCGTTTCGTCCTGTTTGGGACTCGTCAGCTGGATGTACCTGCATCTCAGAGTTGATGTTCACTCTGGGACTCGAACTCAGTACCGTTCGCTTCAAACGCCATCGCGTTATCCACTTAGCTACTGAGTCCTGATAGCCACTTGCTTGTGCAATGGGTTGAAGTTTAATTAACTCAGTAGCTAAGTGGATAACGCGATGGCGTTTGAAGCGAACGGTACTGAGTTCGAGTCCCAGAGTGAACATCAACCCTGAGATGCAGGTACATCCAGCTGACGAGTCCCAAACAGGACGAAACGCGCGTCCTGGATTCCACTGTTAGCCACTATCCATCTTTGCTTACAATGCTTGTAAATTAAGGCAATATCGAGGCATACGCACAGTATGCACATATGCCAATAAGAGACTGATCAATTTCAGTCCTAAAAATATCAATGGGAAGATTCAAGTGAAACAATACCAAGTGAATTATAAAACCATTTAATTCTATAATAATAATAATAACAACGCTTGTGAATGTGTATTTAATTGGGAATAGTCCAGTCATGTTTTAGACTTATGAAGTTGACACATTTCCAATTAGTCAAGTATCGTATTAACTAATGTTTTGCGAAGTTTATTGACACCAATTTGAGTGCTCAAAAATGAAATAGATTTAGCGTGATTCATATTTACAACCTAACAATTAAGAATCAAATGATTGAATCAATTTACTACGCTTAAATTTATAAACTTCTTTTTTTTTTTTAGCGTTTAACCCAATTACTTCGTAGTCGTAATCCAGCTGATCTACGTGAAGCGAATGCGCTTATCAAGAGTATAGTTGAAGAAGTGAGTTTGTTTATATGAATAGTCTACTTATTTTAATTTCACTGTATTAAAAAAAGATGAGTATTTCGATATTTGGAATAAGATGATACCATTCCATTCACTTAATATATGAATGTAAATCATTTGGATGGAGGTTTTGATAATATTGGTAAAGCCTCATATACATAACTCATGTGATACCAACTTGTTAACCGGTTTCTAAACTCGAAAATTTACGATTATCAAAAGCTGAACAATTCTAGAAGTAGACTACCTGGTTGGGGACCACGAGATGATAGCAACCGATGGTTAGAGACCCTGAATGACATGGTTCAAAATCGTTTGCAATGGCGCAGGTGCATCCACTCTTTGTGTTCTCCCAAATTCTAATCTCCTGATTCCTCCTTGTCTCTTTTTTCTTTTCCCAAATTTATTTCACTGGATTATACTCTTTAAATAACATCTCCAAACCCTAATCTTCCGATTACTGCTTATACTCTTGCTACCTCTACCACTACGGGATTTGAATCGACAAGTGCATCTCTATGCTAATGTGGTGTGGCAACTCGAACTGATGTACGTACGTACGAAGTTCTACGTTGTTACTGACTGACTGACTGACTGAGAATAGTCTGTCAAGCTTGACTCTCATGATTGTTTTTAATACAGAATCATGTCACATAAAACCTTCAACACAGATTACAGCTATTGCTCAAAACTGAAATAGGATACCTAAATGTACTGACACATGGCTTAGACCTATAATTAATGATTTGAACTGATATCGTATCCTAGTTTCATCTCTTTTATCCTTTTCTGAACCTACTTCTGTGGTAGACAGTACTGTAATTTAGGAGTAACGCGGTAGTTATCCATATACATATATATATATATATATATATATATATATATATATATATATATATACATATATATACCTCTCCAGTTGATAAACACTCATAGCATTATCAATCAACTCTTTTCTGGAGAGTGTATACTGATATGTAAAGCGCTTTCATGTATATTGAATTCTTACTTAATATAATTTTTTATTGAGTACATTATTGTTGACTCTGTCTTACCTGTATGTAATATCATCACTTATGTCTAGTAGCCGGGTCAAATTTATTTATCCTAATTACGATTCAAAATAGTTCTTATGTGACAATTTGTAACAATTTACATCATATATCCTTATTAGTTCAAATAAAAATGAATTTGAAGATTGATCTATCAATTTTTGCTTCGTTAAAGTGATGATGTTGTTTCTTGTTACTTGTCGTACAACTACATTTAATCAATTAAATCACTCAAATAGTGTATGATCGAGTAATACAAGATAACTCAGTGATCAAGATAACTAGTGATGTTACACTGATCGGATTTAACCCGTAACATTTAGTGATTTCTCGGGTATTGATTCCTTCCAGGAGGTTCACTTATCGACTTAGAATACGCAGATGATATAGTCCTGTTTGGTGAAGACGCTGATAAAATGCAGAGTCTTTTGGTAGCACTAAGCAACAATGCCAGAATGTTTGGAATGCGCTTCTCTCCCTCTAAATGCAAGCTGCTGCTTCAGGACTGGTCTGCGTCAACACCTGACCTAAATGGCCATTAAGAGTAGAAGACACTCGTAAGCTACTAGTATTTGACCATAGATGTCTTAGAAATATTGCTGGCGTCTGCTGGGATCACCGGATAAGTAATAGTGAGGTTAGACGTAATGTATTACGGAATGATGTTAAATCAACTGATGAGGTTGTAAATCTTCATCGATGATGCAGATTACTTGGTTGGGGTCCACGTGACTATCGTAATCAATAGTTGGAGACTCTAGATGACATGGCTCAGAATCGATCACAATGGCGTCAGTGTATACATTCTCTGTCTTCCTTTAACCTCTGAGATCTTTCTTTCTACGAACTAATTCTTTCTTCCTGTACTATATCCTCATTGCAATCTTTCTTTTATATATTACCACCTCTGAATTAACTACTTTTATGAATCCGGTGCCATCTGTTGTGTATTTAGTGATTTAAATATCAAAGATCAGTTATTATTTATACTAATATCTATGAAATAGGGGGCTTGTACCAACCCACAATCTTTTATCCAGTCCTGTGTTGATAATGACTGACTAATTAATAAATTATGTAACTAAACAGTTTGTTGTGAAATATAATTAATCTTTTCAGGAATTTCTCATTGCTCTAACGAACCGTGCATATTTTTTATTGTCGACGTTCATTAACTACTCATAAATTAAATCAGTAGGCAAATAGTGTTTCCTTATGTTGTGGAATTATTTACATCAATTTCACCATTTGTTGAAAGTATCTATTTATTTATTTATGTGTCTATTACACACTTATTTTAAAGGATCAAGTACGTATGGAAAAAGTAAGCCAAAGAACTAGTGAAATGGAAGCTTTAAGGAACAATACAATATTATTAGAAGAAATGATTGGGACATATTTATTAGGTGAAAGTACTGAGGCTGAATTAGAATTGATGAGTGTAAGTTATTAATCTATGTGTTTTTTTACTTATGCACTTTCATAGTACACCAATTATAAATTCATTGAATGTATTTGAAGAAATGACTGATTATTTCATGACCGTTGGCTAGAATAATATCTTCCTAAAGGTGGAATGAGTAGTTAATTTGAAGTTTACTTAGACCCTTTATCGGTTGTTTCTTTGTTTTTTTCCTTACCCATTAAAAACTGTATGGAAATAGATGATGATCATCGTAAATTGACTGAGATGATCTGGATCTATGTTATAAGTGCACAGCTACCTCTTATCTTGATGTTTCATAATAGCTAGATTATAGGTAGTCGTATATAAAGTAATATAACGTAACCCAGTAGACAACTGCAGAGTTATGTGGTTGGTTTTGAGATGCACGTTTAGCCTAAAAGCCAGTGACTTTATCGGTTGCCTATAGAGAATTTGATCGAGTGAGTTTCAATATTATGATTAAATGGTTAAAATTTGATTGTTTTAACATTTTTCCCACTGCTCTACAAATCAACTGAAATAAGACTAACATATTCCAAATAAAAACATGGTTTCAGTCTGTGAACTTGTTAACCGTTAGTCTGGAATGTATGGAAAAGTGCAGACTTCGTCTGATACTCAAAAAACTTGAAATAGTAGTCGTGGTTACACAAATCTTGTTTTTCTTTACTTTGTTTTGCGTACTCGTATTACCCATTGTGAAACATAGTTCGCCGACCGGTATTCTCCAACCAACACTGTCCTTGGCTATCTTTCCTAGTTTTTGTCAATTGCTGTTCATTCTTTTGATGTCTGTCTCTAATTCCCGGGGTAATATATCCTTTGATTAGTCATTTTTTCTTTTGCCCTCAGGATTTTAAATTTGGGCTTGCCTCGTGATGCAGTTTGATTATATCTTTATTGTGTGTCCTATCCACTTTGAACGTCTTTTCCTAATTTCCTCTTCAGCTGAAAGCTGATTTTCTCTCTCCCACAATAGGCTGATGCTGATGGTATCCGGTCAACGGACATTTAGTATCTTGCATAGAAATTTCTTAAAAACACTTGTCTTTTTTGATGATGGTGTGGTAGTCGTTCTGCAAGTTTCTTCTCCGTACAATAGAACTGTCTTGACGTTTTTATTAAAGATTGTGACTTTGATATTGGTTGATAGTTATTTCGAGTTGTGCAACTGTAGGAATGATGTCCTTGCACTGCGAATCCTTGCATTCACATTTGCATCAGATCTTCCTCGTTCATAGATGATAATGACCAGGTACGTTAAATTTTCAACCTTTTCCAGAGGTTCTCCATCAACTGTGATTGGGTTAGTGCTCGTTGTGTTGTATTTGAAGACCTTGCTTTTTCCCTTGTCGAGACCTACTGCTGCAGATAGAAGCTGCTGCTACACTGGCTGTCTTCATGTGCATTTGTTTATGTGTATGGATAGAAGAGCTCGGCCACTTGCAAACTCCAAATTGTTTAGTTGTGTCCAACCTGTCCATTGTATTCCATACTTCCCTTGAGATGTCGAGGTTTTCATAATACAGTCAGCTACTAGAAGAATGAGAGAGAGAGAAAACAGCCTTGTTTGACTCGGGTTCTTACTTGGAATGTGTCTGTCAGCTGTTCTTTTTGCACCACTTTGAGTATATTCGGTCATAAGAATTCCTTATGATATTAACGATCTTCCCAGTTATAGTATATTGTCGAAGAAGTCTCTTTAGGGTTATTGTATCCACACTGTCAAACACCCCACAGTCAATGAAGTTAATGTATAGTTACGAGTTCCATTTAATCGAACATTTAACGACTACCCGTGGTGGCGTGATTTTATCGGCGCATAATCGATCCTCATGAAATTTAGCTCATTGGTCTCGAAGCTGGAGGTCTACCTAATCTTTCATTCTTTTCACCAACACTCTGTTGTGAATGTTTCCTAGCACTGATAGTAATGGGATGCCTCTGTAGTCAGCACACTTGCTCCGACCTCCTTTCTTTATTATCTTGGTGAGGTATCCTTCTTTCCAGTTTACTGGGACTTGTTCTTCCTCCCAAATCTCCCTAAATAGAGCGTGGAGCATATTTGCCGTTGCTTCTATGTATGGCTTCATTGCTTCAGCTACTATATTGTCAGGTCCTTCTACTTTTCCACTTTTGATTTGTCTGATAGCCATCCTGATTCCTGCTGTCGTAGGCGGAGTGACATCTATAGGAAGATCTCTGTGTGCTGCTACAATGTCCGGTGGGTTTAATGTAGCTAGCCATCATCCATCTCCGTGTAGAATGCTTGTGAATTAATGGGGACATCGAAGAAACCCTCACAGGACAGATATATACCAGAAAAGACTGGTTAATCTCAGACCTATACATCAATGTGAAGATCCAGACAACCGGGATATATGTATTAACTAGAATCTTCATTATTCTTACCATTAAAACTAGTACACATGTATTCATACTAATTGTACTTTTCACCCTGTTAAGTATAGTTAAACAATCTATTTCTAATTGAAAACTATTATTTACTTATATTTATGTTATTCTATTAGTCTATTAACTAGAATTCAATCTATAACATCTACTTCTATCTAAGCAATCATTAGAGATATTATTTAATACCACAGTGAATTGTATTAGCATGTAATTCTTTCCTAATTGATCCTTAACTTGTCACACACACACACACACGTACATATACATCATTATCGTTATTTTTAATTCTTATACAGGAATTGACACAGAATATACGTAGAGCACGTCCATTATTATATAGTTTCTCTTTAACACATGAAGAACAAGATATTGAAACATTGAGTAAGTTTATTTTTTCTTTTTCTTCTTCTTCTTCTTCTTCAAATTATAGAGATTGAAATTACTTTTTTTTTGAGGAATAAATAATGATTGCTGTATATTCTGTCAAATTTTAAGTTGTATTTAGGAAATAGTTTTACATTCATATGAATTATTGGGTCGTTAACTCATCTAAGTCTAGTGAGTTGATGCAGTCGAATGCCCTGGTACAGCCGAGAGTGGGGAGAGTCAGCTCATCCTGTTGAAATGCTCTCACATGGCCACATGCCTACAACCATTGTCAGGAAAGTCATACTCAATGCTTTCTCGTACCACTGGTGTTTTTTACAAAATTGAGATGAGAAGCGAATATCCGGTGCTTTAACCGGGTTGGTGGATATGGAGGATTCACCTAAGGGAGCTGGAAAACTCTGATTCCAAACCAATGGTGCACATGGGCTCCATAATCCTGAGGGAACAAATGGTGTATGACCCAATCGTTGATCACCGGCTACCATGAGACTGCATCTCCTGACGATTTTCCACTGCCTTGTGGATTAGACCTTTAGGTCAAAGGCTCCGAGTGTGGTCCCCTTAAGAAAACCACCTTTGATTTGGGCACCCGGGTAGTATCCCAGCCCACACACAAATCGAATGATTTACGTGGCGCATATCTATTTGGTGTCTCCTTGTACCAATGTTTATGTGTTTAAATAAATAGATTTGTTGAGTTGATGAGTTAATACACATCATAAAGTATGTATATATATATCCCTGGAGTTTTTGCCGATGATGTCGTTCAGAGGAACGATGAAAGCTCCACAACCAAACCATCCAGTTCAGAGAATCAAACTCCATCAAAGTATCTACAAGTTTCCAGTTTAATTTCGTACTACAAGTTATTATTGCAATACTGTCGGGTTAGTTAAACCAAAGTAGACGAACCATAGTTCTAATATGTAATTCAATTGATTAAAAACTGACTAGGTGATTAGATAATAATGCTTAAAACAGTCAGTTATCATTTTGATAATTGTCGTTTCATTTAGATCACAATTAGATGATGAACAACTAGTGGGTATATCTGATACAACGGTTGGAATAAAATATTTTTGTCACCACAATATACTACTCCACTATTATAATGCGACTATAACTCAATAAGACTGGTTTAAGTGACCGAGTTTATACTATCAAAAGATTGGATACTTGAAAGATCCTTTATACAGAGAATAGATTAGGTTATATCAGATACCCGATTCACGACCAAAATAAAGAACCACCATATGGACTAGATAATACTTTATTCCACACAATCACAAGCAGTCACTCAGTAATTCCGGAATAGAAGTCAACAAGAGGAAAGGAAACAACATATTTAATCGTTAGTAAACTAACTGACTGTTTATCCATACTCATTAACTAATCACATTTATTTTTATTAACACATATCAATTCTTGTAACTCATATAGGTTCCTTTTAAGCTCTTCCATCTGATACCATAACTGTATGTTCAAAGAATTGATCGATGATTTGTCCTTATTTGATAAAGGTTTATTTTCCACATCATTTTATGATTATTACCAACTACTTCTGTTAGTATTTCTCGGAATTTCTGATCAGTTTACAATAATTTCTGTGACCTACTAGTTAAAAGTTGAATAAATATTGCATTACAATCTATAGTCTCAATTCAACTGTTTGATTTATGCTTACCTGCTCCGATTCGGGCGCCCGGGCAGTATTCCAGCTTTCACACAAATTAAATGATGAAGTGTCGTACATGTATATTTGGTGCCTTTTTGCACCAATGTTTATATGGCTAAAGAAATAAGTAAACAATAATTTTAATAGTTGAGAACATGAGTTAATTGAAGCTAGACCACTCTGGAAACCAATAGGTCGTGGGTTAAAGTCTCGCGAGGCGGGATCGTTGATGCGCACTGCTGAGGAGTCTCACATCAAGACGAAACGGCTGTTCAGGTTTTTCATGATGTTCTAGCTTCAATTGTTTCACTGGATTATACTCCTTGAATAACATCTTCAAACCTTAATCTTTCCAATTACTGCTTAGTCTCTTATTACCTCTGGCCCCCAAACGCCCTGGTATGGCCGAGAGCGGGGTGGGTTCGCCCTCCCTCTCGAAATACTCTCACAAGGCCGCGCGTATACAGCCTCTGCCAGAGAAGTCCTACTCACTGCTTTCTCGTGGCGGGGGTGTTGTTTACGAAAATGAGAGGACGAAAAGCGAATGTCCGGCGCTTTAACCGGATTCCAAATCTATGGTGCACATGGGTACCAGTATCCTGCGGGAACAAATGGCGTATGAGCCAATCGTTGGTCACCGGTTACCATGGGATTGCATCTCCTTACGATGCTCCACTGCCTTGTGGGTTAGACCTTTAAGTCGAAGGCTCGGGGTGTGTCCCCCTAAGATAACCACCCGCTTCGGTCTGGGCACCCGGGCAGTATCGCAGCCCACACGCAATTAATGAACTGAAATTGTGTGGCGCATATATATTTGGCGCACTCCTGTACCAATATATATGTGTTCAAATAAAATTATTACCTCTATCACTACGGGATTTGAATCGACAACTGCATCTCTGTGCTAATGTGGCATGGCAACTCGAACTGATGTACGTACGTAAGAAGTTCTACGTTGTTACTGACTGACTGACTGAGAAATAATTAGTTATCAGTCTTAATAATGGTATATGTATTTTTACATTTATATCTTTTTTTTCTCGGTTATAAATTTTTTTTTAGCTGAAATTGGTCAAATATGTGACAAAGCTAGTGAAGTTTTAGCAAACTATGAACAAAAAATAGCCAAACAAAAGTCATTATCCTCATCAAAATCATCATCTATAACTAAGGATAATTCTTCTTCTCAATTGTCATCATCTAATCATATTACTGATCTTTTAACACAAGATTTAATGAATTTAGGCTTATGTGATGATTCAATCACACCTATCCCATCGTCTAATGCTAATCTATACTCTCCAGATGTTTTATTATTGAATACTTCAAATTCATTTCTTGTTAATCATCTTCATAATTCGTCATGTAATCAAGTATCACGTCCAATTGAACCAAAATATTCATTAAACAGTAGTAATAATAATAGTAACAATTTTATTGCTAACAATCCTGGTATTAGGAAAAAATCAAACTATGATGACTTACAGGATATTTTTTCCACAAATGCTACTAATACTTCTACTACTACGACGACGACTTCTGGGTCAACAGGTAAGTCTCTTTAATATTTTTACTCTTTTTAGTATCCTTTTTATTTCGAATCGATTAATCAGGTAGTGAAGTTTTATTCATTGAGAGGTGGCTGAGGTTTGTGTTATTTATGCTCAACCGCCTCGATGCGCTATATTTTAATGGTGTCGGAGTAGGTCGGAAGAAAGCTAGTGGAGGTCAAATTAAAGCATCAGTTCATAAAATCTGTTGGACTGAGGCATGTATGTGGGTAGTGACTACCGTGTTGGGATCCACATGGTTATAATAATCATTGTTTGGAGATTTTGTGTGAGGTCGATTAGAATCTATCATAATTTTGCAGATGTTTCTAATGCTCTCATATAGCCACATGCATACAACCACTGCCACGGAAGTCCTACTCATTGCCTTCTCGTGGCGGGGGTGTTTACGAAATTGAGAGGACGAAAAACGAATGTCCGGTGCTTTAACCGGTGGTGGGTACGGAGAATCCACCCTTGGAAGTAAGAAAACCTTGATTCTAAACCAATGGTGTACATGGGCTCCAGTATTCTGAAGGAATAAATGGTGTATGAACCAATCGTTGTTCACCGGCTATTATGTTACTGTATCTCCTGACGTTGTTCCACTGTCATGTGGATCAAACCATTAGGTTGAAAGCTCCGAGTGTGGCCACCTAAGAAAACCACCTCTCACACAAATCGAATGGTTTATGTGGCGCATATCTATTTGGTGCCTCCTTGTACCAATGTTTATATGTTTAAATAAATAAAAATAAGGAACACTGTGAAAGGGTTAATAGTTTACTGCGAAACTATTTTAATTGAATGGTACTATGCTATGTACCAACAGCTGTTATTATTATTATTATTGACAACAATATAATTGCAGTATTCAGTTACTCATGTTAGTTGTAAAATTTCGATCTTATGACACTTAGAAATTGTTTTCATCCAGTAAGTTATTGATATTAAGCAGTTGTAAATGGTACTTGTTTAAATGTATTTAAATTCGAACTATTAATCATATAGAAAAGATTATATTCATGATATGTTGTTGGTTTGTTAGGTGGTGGAACATAGTGACCAGAAAACCTTTGAACTAGGTTTCATGCTAGTTAGCACTCATTAAATAGACTTACCTGGAATATTAAGGAGGCTAACTCTCCGGGTGGAATTCGAACCTATATCTCCAAGATACAGTTTGAGGTATTACCACTGAGCGATAAAGTTCCTATGGGAGTAAGATGTTATTGATTTGTTTTTGGTGTATCATAAATTATCATCTATCCTCTTTTCTCTATTCCACTAGTCGAATGACATCAGTTACTATTTCAGTCATAACAGCTAGCTATGCATATGGGATTACATGGGACCTGACATAAATGATGTTGTTTACTCCATAGGATTTCTTAAACCGGTTGTAAATGAAGTTGTTCTTCATTGTCAAAAACCATAATATATGATATTTTTGTACCGTAACATTTTTGGTTATTCTATCCATTGGAAACACTTTCGGGCATGTCGGCTCGCTTGGCTTTTGCCAACTTGCGTCACCTTTGGCGAAGGCGAGATATCCGTCTATCAATAAAAGGACGGTATACTGCGCGGCAGTCCGTTCTGTTTTAATTTACGGCAGCGAAACATGGCCACTAAGAGTAGAAGACACTCGTAAGCTATTAGTATTTGACCACAGATGCCTTAGAAATATTGCTGGCATCTGCTGGGATCACCGGGTAAGTAATAGTGAGGTTAGACGCAGGGTATTAGGGAATGATGGTAAATCAGTTGATGAGGTTATGAATCTTCATCGACTGAGATGGTTGGGTCACGTGTTACGTATGCCTGAACACCGATTACCACGGATGGTTGGAAGAAAGTTAGGGGCAACCAAGCCAAAACGTGGCATAAGTGCTTGAAGACACTAACTTCTAGTCTGAGCCATGTTGGTAGATGCAGACTACTTGGTTGGGGTCCGCGTGACTTTCGTAACCAATGGTTGGAGACTCTTGGTGACATGGCTCAGAATCGATCACAATGGCGTCGGTGTATACACTCCCTGTCTTCCGTTAAACTAAGAGATTAAAATCACTTCATATCTTTCTTCTCGAACCATTCTTTCTTCTTGTACTTTTATATATTACCACCTTTGACCTAACCACTGCTATGAATCCGGTGTTCATCTTGTTGTGCTGATGCGGTATGGCAACGTGGACCGATGCACATATGTGCCTGGTCCTACGTTGTAGCTGACTGACTGAGAATTGAGTTGCAAGTTTTGTGCTTTAGAGTATTATATGAGGACGAGATGGATATCTAATTCTTACTGGTTTCTAATGCGTATCACTTTTTTATATTGATAATATTCAAATGGAATGATGTTTCATAATTTCATTTGCTAATTATTATTTCAATGAACTATACTACTACTAACACTAATAAGAATTCTTAATCTTTACTTTTCTCTTTCCTCCCAGTACTCTCTACTTCGTCAACGCTTTACCCATCAATATTCAGTTCTGTAGACTCCAAAACTTCAAAACAATCCTTGTCTCCTGAACATGAATCTTCTGTAAATTCGAATCCCAACGTCTTCAGTGAACTAGATTGTTTGAGTCGTCAAATGCTTAACTTATCAAAGTAAGTGTTGCTCGTTGCGTTTTTATCTTTTTGTAGAAATCTTTTTTTATTATTTCCTGGATAATGACCATTCATGTGTAAATGGTTGGTGATGTACTACAAAGCGACAAAGAGCCTGAATCAAAATTTTCCGAACAAACAATTGATGAATAAATATTATCACCTTACATTGACAGAAGTCTTTGTATGATTTATGGTAATGCAACTCTTTTTGCACTGACCTCTTTCATCAAGACAAATTTCACTTATTCATGGTTAATCCTTTATTTAGCGTTCTGATTTTCATGTTATTGTAATTCTAATGATCATGTATTTCTATTTTGGTGATCCGTAATCGTTTGAATATTTCATGGAGGATTATTCGAGTATTTGCAATGATTTACTTTTCTGCCAATTACAAAGTGTTATTTCGAGAATGACATTTATCGATGTCGAATATGACCTTAGGAAGCAAATTTATCAAGCAGTTTAATTGGTTCAATTGCGTTTGTAGTCTCATCAGCTCTGATTCTTTGGGGGGTTTCGTCGGATCTGTTAGCATGGACAACAAAAGCTTGTTCGGTTTTTAAAAAAACTAATCCACATGTGATTCAGATTAAATGTCGATCTACTAATAAATATGCGAATAAACTGAAGAATAGTTTGATTTGTACTACTTTAAGATATTTAAGAGCAGGAAGACTGAGTAAACTGTTGGTATTCGTATGCTCATGTCTTCCAAGTAGTGTTTGCATAAACTGTGCTAATACTACTCTACGCAGTATCGAGTTGAGAACTTTCAGACTTCACTGTGTGCATGATATATCAAGATCACTGAGTCAATCCATATATATATCCATTCAATTGATGATGTGTAGCACAAAGATCATCTAATAAGATTGATAATAAGTGTCCTTTGGCTATCAATGTTTCTGTAACTAATATCAATCGATGATAATTAACTGTTTCCAAATCACAAATCTCTTCAATACGAACGTCAAGAAAGTTCTACTGTACTAAGCTGAAACTTGGAGAACTACTACCACAACCATCATCAAGAAGGTACAAGTATTTATAAATAGTTGTCTACGCAAGATACATCCATTGGCTAGATACCATCAGCAACAGCCTAATGTGGGAGAGAACAAATCAACTTCCAACTAATGAGGAGATTAGGAAAAACAATGGATAAGACATACATTACGAAAATCACTAAACTGCATCACGAGGCAAGTCCTAACTTGGAATCGTGAAGGGAAGCGGAAAAGTGGAAGGCCAAAGAACATATTAGGTAGGGAAATAGAAGCAGATATGAAAAAGATGAATAATAACTGGAAAGAGCTGGAAAGGATTGCCTAGGACAGGGTTAGATGGAGAGTGATTGTGGATGGCCTATGCTCCTCCACGAAGAGTAATAGGCGTAAGTAATTAAATCACAAATCATTTCGGAAAAAATAATATACTTGCATGATGGATTTTTTTATGTAGTTTTAATATTCTATTTACGTTTCTTTCATATCTACATAGAACAAATGCTTTGACAGATACAAATCTATCAATATTACTAGCAAATAATTCTCCAAGTAAAATAAAACCCGATGGTGATGATGATGATGATGATAACACATCCTTATGTATTAGTGACGTAGTTGTAAGCAGGAATAACACTCCCACCAGTAATAATCACAAAGTGGAAGAAGTAACACCATCAGAAGTTACAACACAAAGTGTAATTGATCTTAAATCATTTGATATTCAACTTTCTTCTGTTCAACCTCATTCAATACATAAAACACCATTGACACTTTATCCAACTGATATATCACAAGAGAATGACAGTAATGATAATACTTATAACATACAATTAACACTACATTACGCTAATAATAAACCACATCCTGAAGTGATGGTTTTTGTTGCTGTTATATCTAGTCGAAATGTTTTACCCATTACTGAAATCAATGTTAGATTTGGTGTTGAAAAGGTGAGATTATTAATAAACACTATTATTATTATTATTATTATTATTATTATTGTCCGACGCTTTAACCGGGTTGGTCGATATGGAGTATCCACCTAAGGGAGTTGGAAAACGCTGATTCCAAACCAATGATATACACGAGGTCCTGGATCCTAAGGAAATAAATGGCGTATGAACTAATCGTTGGGACTGCATTTCTTGACGTTGCTCCACCGCGTTGTGGATTAGGCTTTTAGATCAAAGGCTCCGGGTGTGGCCTCCTAAGAAAACCATCCACTTCGGTCTGGGCACCCGGTCAGTATCCCAACCCTCATATAAACCGAATGATTTATGTGGCGCATATCTATTTGGTGTCTCCTTGTACCAATGTTTATGTTTTTAAATAAATAAATGATTAAATAATAATTATTGTTTATAATTTGTATGCAACATTTCATGTTCACTGTTAGTCTTATAGTTAGTATTGATATCTGATGAAGAAGATTTATAACTTCATCTAATCAATTTTAGGTATGTTGTATCATATAAAGCAGATAGTTGAATGACTGGACAATATTCACTCTTGTTTTTAAACAAACAAACAAACAAACTCACTTCTACCTATAATAAGCTCTCATGTTGTTCAAAACAACAATGAACTATCCAGTTATCCAGTTCAGGAAATTCAACACTATCGAATTTGATAACCTTAACATATCATCACTTTTACTTTATCTCATGTTCATTTGTTTCTTTTATTTAAAGGTTACTATGTGAATTGAATGAAAAAATTCGTTAATTGCTAACTAACTAACTAACTAACTAAATCAATCAATCAAAATTACCATTTTATGAATACACTTTAATTCATACTTAAAATAACAGTTTGTATGAATATGATTTATTTTATTTTATTTAAACACATAGACATTGATACAAGAAGGTACCAATTAGATATGCACCACATAAATCATTCGATTTGATGTGAGGGCTGGGATACTGCCCGGGTGCCCAGACCGAAGCAGGTGGTTTTCTTAGGGGGTCACATCCGGAGGTCTGACCCACAAGGCAGTGGGGCATCGTGAGGAGATGCGGTCCCATGGTAGCCGGTGATCAACGATTGGGTCATACGCCATTTGTTCCTACAGGATACTGGAGTCCATGTGCACCATTAGTTTGGAATCAGGGTTTTCCAACTCCCCTATGTGGACTCTCCATGTCCACCAACCCGGTTAAAGCACCGGACATTCGTCTTTCGTCCTCTCAAGTTCGTAAACAACCTCCGAGGTGCGAGAAGGTATTGACTAAGACTTCACTCGCAGAGGCTATATACGCGTGTGCATGTGAGAGCATTTCGAGCGGAAGAGCGGACTCTCCTCACTCTTGGCTGTACCAGAGCATTTGGAAACCATGAATATGAATATATTGGCCTTTAAATTAAAACTAGTGATTAGTTACTGATCCATCACTCTCATAATGTTTACGAAAAAGAATGTAAGTTGTTCACATCAAACAGCATCAGATGATAGTATACTTGAACCCCAAATACACTGGTACGTTTGAGGGTGAGGAGATTCCTCTCTCTCTTTTGAAATGCTCTCACATGGCCTCGCGTATACAGTTTATGCCAAGGATGTCCTATTCAATGCCTTCTCACGACAGAGGTGTTGTTTACGAAATTGAGAGGACGGAAAGCGAATGTCTGGCACTGAAACCGGGCTGATTGCCACAGAGGATCTACCTAGACGAGTTACAAAACCCCGACTCTAAATCAACAGTACACATAGACTCCAGGACTCTGAGCGAACAAATGGCATATGAATCTATTGTTGGTCACTGGCTACCATGTGACTGCATCTCCTAGCGTTCCTCCACTGTCTTGTGAATAAGATTTCTAGGTCAAATAATCGGGGAATCGCCCCCTAAAAAAACCACCTGTTTCCATATGGACGCCTGCACAGTATTTCAACCTAAACAAAAATTCAATAATTTGTGTGGTGCATCTATATTTTTGTGAATGTTTGCACTAATGTTTGTGTTTAAATAAATCAATAAATAAATACTTAAACCTGTTGATATCTCATGTAAGGTAAACTGGAATACTAGAAACAGTCCAACAAAAATGTGACATCAATCCATGAAATTAATGACTGTCGAATGAAGTCGTGCTGGAAGATATAAACATATCCTGTTTATGGTGTAAGTATGATGACTCGATTCAATGATGGAAAATTATTAGTAACAATTTGTGTCACACGCACGAAACAACTGTTTTCTCTTTTTCTGACTATGATGTTTATGACTATGATGATTTATATTTTAAAAGCCAGTTATATCTTGTTTTCTTTGATTAGCTATTCTGTTAATTTGATATCAGGATATTTTACGATGATTTTATATGTTTACGTTTTACATCCTTGTCAGATATGATATGACTCAGAATCGATCACAATGACGTCGGTGTATACACTCTCTATGGGATTAAAATCGCCTCATACCTTTCTTTCTACGAACTAATTCTTTCTTCCTGTACTATATCCTTCTATGCCATCTTTCTTTTATATATTATCACCTCTGATTCAACTACTTTTATGAATCCGGTGTTCACCTTGTTGTGTTAATTAGGTATGGCAATCTGGACCGATGCATATATGTGCCTGGTCCTACGTTGTAGCTGACTGACAGACTGACTATACTCGCCTATAATGTTTACTAAACCTTCGAAAAAGGTGTATTGTTTCCGTATAAATTTAACAAGAAAACAAGTAAATGTATGTCAAAAATAAAAATGCAATTTATCATCGTTCACCAATACACACAGTATTTTAAAAAAACATCCGACTTTCAACCACTAAGTTTCATGTTCGAACTCTGCCTCATTCACTTGAGTTTAAGCAATCAAGTAATATCATTACCTCTCATACTTCTAGTGTGTCTCATATATAAGTACGTGTTGAATAAACTAATCTAATTTAACACATGTGTACAAATATACAATGGGTAAGTACACTACTACTGTGGTGTATGCTACTAATGTCGATAGATATAAGTAGTATATATCATCAATTGAAAGTAAAAAGCCTAGTTGCCGAGAGTTAAGAAGGTCGAAGGAAAGAGAACGAGAACAGAGAATGATTACTATGGAAACTGTTGGGTCGGCTTTCCAAGAACTGCAACGTAGCCTCCAGAGGCCCTAAATGAGCCGAAGAGTCCTAGCCAATCAGAGCATGGTGGTGCTTTCTAGAATGTCAACGTAGCGTGCTACTATTGGTCAGTAGCATAATATGTCTTTTAATGGATTAGCCAAAATGTGATGTTGATTTAACAAATTTTAACATCTATAAATACCCGTGTTTTTCTGTACAAAAATGAACCTTTTGGGTTAAAGTGTTTTCGGTTATTTTGCTCCTTTTCTCTCGAGTCCAGGTCTCTGCGTAGTTCTAGCTTGAGGGTTACCAGAATAGCTTAGCAACCGAATAAAGTGTTCAAATTAACAAGACTTATCAGAAACAAAGAAACAATGAAGTCTAGGACAATTAATTGACATTTTGTAAATGAAGTATTTATGGTATAGTTCTTAGATTTTACTAAAACATTGATCAAGTCAATTGTAATCGGATGATTTTTGCACTGTATTTCAAGTAAATTCTTTTCTATAGTTTCAATTGAAAATTTGCTATGCTAAGTTGAACAAATAGATACTAACTTGTATTGATTCTATTTACTCTTTTAGCCTTTTAAAATACGACAACTTATTGCATCTGGACAAAATCTTCCATCTTATAAAACATTTCTACCACCTGCATCAATTAGTCAAGTATTATTAATTTATAATCCATCTAAATTAGTAAGTTAATCATTGATATATTTCTTTGAGAAAAAGTTAATTTTTTACGGGATGGGTTAGCTAACCCCCTATACCCAATCATCCTCTTTTATCCGAGTTTACGATCGGCAGTAACCCCAGAGGGTCCCCAGGTGGAGTTTCTGAGAAAAAGTGCAATTTGATATATATATATATATATATATATATATATATATATATATATATATATGTCCATATATATCGACGATTCTGATATTATGTTGGATGCTAATAATCTTTTATGGAACCGTTTAATACTAAGTTTAGCCATGAATAGGCTTTGATTATAACAGTTAATGACAATGATGATCATTATAATCCTGATAATACAATAAATCGAACCGGTATACTTTTATTCAATCACTTGGTGTAACACGACTGAAAAAATCTTTTGTATTCTTGAATAATCAAGTCTTCCAATTACTAGACGATGGATTTCGTAAATGCGTTATTCACTTTTTCCTTTAAATACTCATTGAGCAATCTTAAACAAAGCTTGTAAAGACATAAATTTATCTCTATACTTCAAGTGTAGAATCTACACTAAAGGTTCTAACTAAAGTATACATGAAATGTAGGTAGGAGAGGCCAAACTACAACGTGGCATCAATCCTTAAAGTCACTAAGTTCTACTCTTAGCCATGTTGGTAGATGCAGACTATCGTGATCAATAGTTGGAGACTCTGGATGACATGGCTCAGAATCGATCATAGTGGCGTTATTCTCTGTCTTCCCTTAAACTCTGAGATTAAAATCGCTTTATATCTTTCTTTCTACGAACTAATTCTTTCCTCCTGTACTATGGCCATATATGCAATCTTTATTTTATATATTACTACCATTTAAGTAACTACTTCTATGAATTTGGTGTTCATCTTGTTGTGTTAATGAGGTATGGCAACTTGGACCGATGCATATATGTGCCTGGTCCTACGTTGTGGCTGACTGACTGACTGACTGATACCATGATATTAAAACATGATGAAACTAGTTGCTAAATGTAATCCATTTAAAGTTGTATAATTGATAAGTTAAATCACATTAGTCTGGTCGTTAGACGAATGTTTCATTCGTTCTAAATTTGAGCAAATCCATTTCTGAGTATTGTTGGTTGTCTTTGAGATGGTGGAGAAGAATGAACTGGAAAGCACTTACAAACTGACCAACAACGTTTTAAATGACATCAATTTCACAATGTAACAGGAGCCAAACAACCAACTAGCATTCTTGGATATGTTAATCATTAGGACCGACACAGGAAAACTGGAAACTCAAGTATATAGGAAACTGACCCATACAGATCAAATTCTCAACTACAACAGCGACAACCCAAGAGCTCAGAAAATCAACTGCGTACACACATTGTTCAAGAGGGCGAGAACACACTTGGCAGCACGAAAAAATGAAGAGAAACACCTGAAGGACATATTTTAAAAGAACGGCTACCCAATCAACTTCATGAAAAAACACCAACCGCACGCAGCATCAGAACCCAAGTCAAACAGAGAAATCAACAAAAGGATCACCCTACCGTACATAAAAGACATATCAGAAACCGCAACGAGACTGCTGAAAACCTTCGCGTTAGGTGTGGCACACAAACCGACAAAATCACTACAATCAATCCCATGCAAACCAAAGGATGAAATAACAAAGGAAAACAAATAAAATATCGTCTACAAAGTAAATTTTGCCAAACTGCGAAAAACACAATATCGGACAAAGCGGACGCCCACTTCCCCTTCGCCTACATGAACATCAATTAGCAGTCAAACGCCATGATATCTCCTCACTTATATCAATACACGTGGACAACTGCGGACACTCATTCGAGTGGAAAAATGTGGAAGTCTTAGACAGAGGAAACTCCAAAAACACCAGAGAATTTTTAGAAGCTTGGCACTCAGGTCAATCAGCAATCAACAAACATATTGAAATCAATCTAATTTATCAACCAATCAGGAAAATCATGCATAAATATAGGAACAAAAAACAAACACCAATGGGAGACACAACCAAAACGAAGAAGTAAACAATGACAAATTTAAGGTCAATAAGAACTAGTCAACATCGAGGTGCGCAGAACAAGCTGTGAAACACATATGGAGAAATTCGAACACTTCACTTCTATCTGAAGTTTGTGCTGATGCTGTCGTTCAGAAGAACGATGGAAGCTCCACGACCAAACCAATCAGCTCAGAGAACAAAAGTCCACCAAGATCATCCACCTGAGCTACAAATCTTCTCCACCATCTCAAAATCATGTGAGCGTAATACGCTTCTCGTTGTTCGAAAAAATTGTTGGTTGTCTGTCAACCAGCGCTAAATAATCCTATTGTATAAAATACCATTTTTGGCTTATGTGCTTACGGTAATTACGAATTACGAATGTTTCTATGATCCTTTTAATATGAAATAGGATCTACGTCAACTAGATAGGTTAGATAACTATATAAAATACTTTCAACTGTAATTCTTCACATCAATCAATTAGTTGTACAATATGCTTTTTTCTTTCTCTATAATTCCGGCACTTCTACACTGCAACAGACAGTTGCCACACTTTGCCCCTAAATGCCCTGGTACGGCCTAGAGCGGAGAGAGTCAGTTCTCCCTCTCGAAATGCTCTCACATGGCCACATGCATACAACCACTGCCAGGGCAGTCCTACTCATTACCTTCTCGTGGCATTTCTGTTTACGAAATTGAGAAGTGGAAAAGCGAATGTCCGTTGCTTTAACCGGTGGTGGGTACGGAGGGTCCGCCTTGTGTAGTTAGAAAACCGTGATTCCAAACCTTTGGTGCACATGGGCTCCAGTTTTCTAAAGAAATAAATTGTTTATGAACCAATCGTCGGTCACCGGCTACCACGTGACTGCTTCTCCTTACGTTGCTGTACTGCCTTTTGGATCAGACCTTTAGGTCGAAGACTCCGAGTGTGGCTCCCCTAAGTAAACCACCTGCCTCGGTCTGGGCATATGGGCAGTATCACAGCCAATACACAAATCAAGTGACTTGCGTGACGCATATGTATTCGGTGCTCCTTTGTAATAATATTTGTGTTTAAACTGAAATAATAATAAACAGATTCCAGATATTTTTTTGGATTGTGAAAAGTCTTGTCGATCGAACGCTATATTCGTTTTCCTAAGCTATTCTGGTAACCCGAAGTCTAAAACTACACAGCGACTTGAACACCAGACTAAGACACAAGTATGAGAGAAAATACTTTATCCCAAGGTTCATTTTTGTACAGAAAATCATAGGTATTTATAGATGTTGACGTCTATTAAATCAACATCATATTTCAGCCAATCCGTTAACGACATATTATGCTACCGACCAATGGTAGCAGGCCACGTTGGAATTCCAGAACGTTCCATCATACTCTGATTGGCTAGGACCCTTCGGCTCCTTTTGGATCTCTGGAGGCTCCGTTGAAGTTCTCCGGAAGCCGACTCAACACCTCTCCGAACAAGATTTCTTTCTGGGATCTACTTGTAGTTTGACAACTGGGGTGCGACGACGTCACATTATTCTTGTCGTTTTTCTTGTCCAAGGTTTCGTTTCAGTAATCCTGGGCATTTGTGCATCTAAGATTAAATCTAACGGAACGTTTGGCCGGTTACTTCGAGTCTGCACCGTTCTTTTGTCCCTAAGGATTTGATTTGCGTGTCGTATACATGTCCCAAAAGCTCCTCGAACTCTCTACAGAACTCTTCCCAGTCTTTGTACAACTTCTCCCGGCTCCCATCGGTTCTTCCCGATGTAGGATTTAATGTAAATTTTGTCGCCAACATTGCAGTTCCGGATACTTGGATCGTGACTGCGCTCATCCACTAATTTGGATGGCAACATGGCATCGAAGACGGTTCGAATACACCTTCCGAACATGGCTTCCGCAGGGGACTTGCCGTCTGGAACATTCGGGTTCGGGGTGGATCTGTAGGATGTCAAAAACTTTGTGATCACCTGCCCTGTCGTCCCTTCACCTCCCCCTTTCAGTAGTGCTCTTTTCAATGTATCCACGAAGCGCTCTGCCTGGCCTTTTGATTGAGGGTGATACGGTGGAGATCGTATGTGTGCAATCCCATTAACGTTGCAGAAATACTTGAATGATTCTGCAATGAGTTGTGAGCCGTTATCGGTCACTAAAGTCTCCGGAACTCCAAAGCTGCTAAACAGGTCGGATAACTTGCTGATTGTTTCACTGGCTGTGCAATTCACCATGGCGTAGATTTGTGACCATTTTGTGAGCGCGTCTACTATGACTAGATACATTCTTCCTCGTATTAGACCGGCAAAGTCTGCATGCAGCCTCTCCCAGGGACTATTCGGCTTTTCCCATTGTTGCCGTTCACACTTGCTTGGACTTTTGGCTGCTTGTAGGCACGATGAACAATTGCAGCATCTGGTTTCGATATCTTGATCCATCGTAGGCCAGTATGCGTAGCTTCGAGCCAGCGCTTTCATTTTATTGATACCAGGATGACCGCTGTGGAATTGTCTCAGAACCTTGTAGCGTAATACTTTTGGAACGATAATTCTGTCACCAAACATAATACATGAGTCGACCATCATAAGTGAGTCCCGTCGGCGAAAATATTGTAGCATTTCTCCTTGAAAACGACGGTTCGGCCACTTGGTGAGAAGATAACCACTAACTTCTCTTAAAGTCTTGTCATTTTCTGTGGCTTCTTTGATGGCCTTTAAAGTAACTGGTAAACCATCAACTGTGTCTTCCAAAACTCGATGTACTTCTGTTTCCGGCTCGATTGCTGCCACGAAAGTGTTTTCTTTCTGTTTTACTTGTGAACCAATCAGTCTAGATAAAGCGTCAGCTTGTCCAAAATCAGTAGTGGGCTGGTACTTGATCTTGAAGTCATAACCCAAGAGTGTAGTTCTCTAACGTTGCAGTCTGTTAGCAGTGTATACAGGTATACCTTCCTTCGCCCTAAATCTGGCTAATAATGGTTTATGGTTAGTTAATAGGGTGAACTGACGTCCAAATATCATCTTGTGAAATTTCTTGACAGCGAAGATAATCGACAATGCTTCCTTCTCGATCTGACTATAGTTACGTTCTGCTGACGTTAACGATCTAGCCGCATGTGATATCGCCTTCTCAGATCCATCTGGCATGATGTGAGAAATAATTGCTCCAATGCCGTAGTTTGACGCGTCTGATGCCACTACAATGAGTAAAGATGGATCGTAATGTGTGAGCAGCAGATCCGAGACTAGTACTTTCTTGATTTCATCGAAAGCAGCTTGGCAAGTTGCAGACCAATTCCATTTTACATTCTTCGACAGAAGGTTATTCAAGGGGGCACGTAATTGATGAAGGTTCGGAATAAAAGCTCCATAATGGCTAACTAGTCCCAAGAAGGATCGTGGTGTGGGGACATACGTCGGTCTGGGCATAGTTTTCACTGCCTAGGTATTCTCCGGATCTGGTCTTCTCTCATCTTTGTCGATTATAAACCCAAGGTAGCGTACTTTTTGCATACAGAAGTCACATTTCTCTGGACGAAGTCGAAGACTGCTTGAATATCTGGGCTACCTGTTTCTGCCATCTGATTATTTCAACAAGTTATCTGTTTTTTCATTTGTTTTAATTTATAATTATGTCCATTAATCGCATAACCTATTCAGGCGCTTTTATGAAAAGCCTACGACCTTCCGCTGCACAAGTTACGAAAAAGTACTATAAAAGGCATCGTGGTGGTTGGCAATATGCGTTAAAGAGAATGAACATTAATCACATGTCAATTCCCGAGCTACTAAATTCTAACTGCCGATCACTAATCAACAAAGTGGACTATCTGCAATTCTTACTTAGTCAAAATACGTATCGTAATTGTGGTGTCATCACAGTTCAAGAATCTTGGTTGAATGATTTACAGGATGACTGCCTTGTATCACTACGTGATTTTAAAATTTATCGTCAGGATCGATCGAACAATAAAAAGAGGTGTGGTGGCGGTGTAGCTACGTTTGTAAACATAAACTGGTGTCGATCTTCGTTTGTGTGTTTTAAGTTTTCAAATGACTTTATCGACTGTCTAACTCTAAGATGTCGTCCAAAACATCTGAATAAATACAAATATGTTTATGTGACCAATATCTACGTGACTCCAGATTGCACATCATCTGCACTATCTGTTTTTGCTGATGAATTCACTGAGTTCGCTGTTACTGCCTTCAGTGATTCACTTTCAGTTGTATGTGGTGATTTCAATTCATGTGACTGTAGCTTCCTTACGTCACTAGGTCACCAAAATGCAGTAGATTTTCCTACCCGTCTGGATGCTCATCTAGACTTCGTCTTCATTAATGATGTGGGTATATATGCGACTCGTAAACGTGCTCCATTGTCTAGCTCAGATCACTGTATAATTCGTGTTCTACCTAAAGTATATGGAAAGCATGGGAAGAGTACACTCCTACGTCAAACCAGAAAAGTCAAATATAGGAATTACACAGAAGAAAATATCCGAAATCTGAAAAACATGTTTCATACGACTAACTGGGAATTATTTACAGATGACTCACTCGAAAACACTACTGATGTTATCACTTGTTACCTTAAATTCTGTTTTGATATTTGTTGTCCCACCGAAACCATTTTTGTAAGTTTTGATC